GAATATATATATATATATATATATATATATATATATATACATGCCGAGTAAGCACTTCTGTCCTGAGTTGTTTCCAGGTACCATGATCGTTTGCTATTTAAATCTCGGCAGAGACAAAAGACGCATGAACTACTAACGAGTCCCAACAAGGAGGAAACGACTGTTTGGTCATCAAAGCGATTTATTTGACAAATCTCCTTGTGTTTCCTTTGTGAATTGTTCGACTTTCGAATAAATGTCATCTGTCAACAGTGCATCTAAAAGATGTGGNGCCCCAGCCTGGACACTATTAAACCTGCAGCAACTCAGCTTTTTTGTTATTCATTACACAGTATAGCATCATCCTTCTCCCGTTCTCCCAACCCCTTCAGGCACAACACTTCCTAGATGATTTTCTAATGGAACAAGTCGAGTCCACGTCCAAACTACGTGTGATCCGATCTCGTCTGTCGCTGGATTCTAGTGCTCCATTCCTTCTGGATAAGGAATTGCGTTGAGCGAACAGGTCAACAGCGTTACAAGCCAATTCTACATCCTGGTAAAATTTATCATTATCACAAGGCCATCGGTTCCGAATCTCCTTCATTTTCTCACATTTGCTCACCACCAACACTAATCTCGTTCACACACCTCCCACACGCTTACGCACAAGCACATATTTTCGATTATGCTCTGTTTATTTCTTTTGAAAAGAAAACTTGATGACGTATCTAAAAAAAATTATCTTTCAGAAAATCAACAGTCACTTTACCATCTCTCCACGAAATGCTTTCCTCCGAGGAAAAACATACACGTCAAACAGTTTGACCCCATATCGATAAACTATTCAATGATTTATGGTTTTGAGTGCATAAAAATACTATATATATATACATATATATTTCCCACTGCCAATTATTTTACAATTACAATAACAATCTCACATGTGGTTAATGGTGAATACGTACATATATGCCGGTTTACAGTTATCAGGCCTTAATTTACAAAGATTTTCTGAAGCTTGACTTGAACTGTTGTTGTGGTCCGTACAAGGTCCAGTAGGCTCGGCATGGAATTTATACGAGAGAGAGACAGCGAGCGCGGAATGGTCAACCACTCCAATCGTAACAAAAGTGGTGGGTATCTCGAACCTCTCTAACCGCAAGAACATTAGTAGACTGGTCATACTGACATCAAACACTCGACCTATTTGCCATTCGTGATTTGTTCTGCGAGTGATTTACTCATTTTCAGCCAGTTGTTTGGGCTTAACAGACTGTTTAGAAGAATACTCAGCTGTTAATCACTTGGAAGTATGGAATCAGGTCAGGCACTATGCTCTATTGAGACCCAACGGAACAAAGTCATGCCAGAACATTATGCAGGAACATTTGACCCGATAAACACATCATCTGTCGTCAATTATGTCCCGCACTCGCGGAGGATAAGTTTTGTTTATTGATCATTCACCATTAAACAACCGTGGTTGAATGTATACGTAAGGAATGAAACATAGCAAAGTGATAGAGAAGATATAATAATAATAATAATAATAATAATAATAATAATAAACCTTTCACTTCTCTCTGCTGAATGGAAGAATATCTAACCAATTTTCAGCAAAGAAGAGGCCAATCAAAGGGCATCATGCGTTTGACGACGGTCATCATCCATTGCAAAGAAACACCTGTCAGTCATTGCATTGCGGTTTGAAATGTTTGATTTACCAGGTTGGTAAGAATGTCCCTTTTCCTATTTTTTTCACTAGCCTCTTTGATGGGATCTACAGGGGCTAAATCCATTTCTTCGTTGAGAGTATCTCCTGTTATTTTTAGATGAACCATTGAGTAGATTTCACGTCCACATGAAAAAGTAGTTTCGTGAATTTCGCAGTTAATTGGAGGCCGAACGTATAATCGAATTGCATTCAAAAGTTTCATTCTATCTAATACCCAGATGATTTTTATTGGCGCCTCATTTGATCAACATTGAGCACATATAGGCGATCCATGGTTACCCACGCATTCCGTATTCACATAATGATTTGACGAAAGCAAATGCGCAGCTGAAGCAGCCCCGTAGACATCATCTCACGTGACTTTTACAATACATTTATCCGGTATGTAACTTCGGTTCTGACAACAATACTGATAGTGGTTTGTGGTGAAAGATATACGCCATTCTCGTTCCTACAGTGTATTTTGTAATAAAACCGATGTTTTCCTGCAGGGAGAGCGTAGTGGTATTCGCGATTGGATAACAGCCCAATTTCTCAGTGTTTACCCCTTATACACGTGGGAAACTTTGCAAAGATCCGTCTTTTTGAATCAGTGGGAGAGAAATCAGTATATTTGTGGTATGCCACTATGAGACATCTATCAGCCTTATCAAGTTATCGCATTTCTAAGGACTGAGAACATGAGCTGATACATTCAAAGTGCATGTGGTGGAGTTTCTCACTGCATATCTGTTACGTCTTACGCCAAGACGTATGATCGATATGAACGTCTCTTGACTAGACCACAACAATCGGAGAGAGAACAAGGCCGAGCAAACGGCAGCCAGAGTATATTCTCGATCAAAAAGGAATACGCAAATATCAGGGGCAAATTAAGCGTACGAGAACGACGTGGTGACGCACCAATCAGGATGCGACCTTGATACTCCGATTGGTCGATCGGACGACAGCTGTTTGTTCCGCCTTAGTCAACCAATCCGGAATCGAGTCAACTTGGGCGTCACGAACGCACTATTCGAGTCAAGTCAAGTCAGTAGTAGCTTTATGCACCCAAATGGGTCAATTTTCAGCGGATTCAAATTTACAAAACCATTACATAATGAAACTGAAAGCAGTAGATTGTGTTTGTCAATGAAACATTCGCGCAATTCTGTGGAAATGTTCTGCTTGTCAATAAGTAGACGTACTAGATATGGCAGAACACAAGTACGATTAGAAGAGGTATGTGCAAATAAAAGTTTTAATCTTGAGCGTGTGGATAATGTAGATACAGCTTTTGAGAATTCGCTGTGTAATGGGTGGTGAGTGTATGAGAGTATTTTGGCAGTGAAAATTTCGTATGATTGTAGGTTTCTGTCTATGATAGAATCGGCGAGTTTATCCCTGACAATGCCACTACATTTAAAGATGTGTTTCAGAGATTTAGCCAGTAAATGAAAGTATTTCTTCAGCATACGGGGATAATCACTGGGACACAATACAGTCAGTGGGGTAGCAAGCATGCATTCACAAACTTAACAATCGGCTTA